TTAATGCAATTTGCTAAACCAGAACCTAAGCCTGATGCACCTTCGTCACCAATTTAATTATCACTTTTTAAATATTGAAGAAAAAATATATCATAAAATAGTTAATTAGAAGGAAAAAATGAAGAAAAAATATGATATAATAAGATTAATTAATTAATAATAAAAGTAAATAATTTGAAAATAAAAGGATGAGCTAAATAAATTAACAAAGAAAGAACAAAAAAAAGCAAGCACAATAAAAACAAAAACAAAAAAGAGCTTTATTGTTTTTAATTAGTTTTTATAATTCAAAATATCACAATCCAAAACAAATAAAATGTTTTTACTAAAGGTCAAGTGTCAAATTTGAGAGATTAATGCAATTTGCTAAACCAGAACCTAAGCCTGATGCACCCATTTCACCAATTTAATTACAACTTTTTAAATATTGAAGAAAAAATATATCATAAAATAGTTAATTAGAAGGAAAAAATGAAGATAAAATATGAAATAATAAGATTAATTAATTAATAATAAAAGTAAATAATTTGAAAATAAAAGGATGAGTTAAATAAATTAACAAAGAAAGAACAAAATAAAGCAAGCACAATAAAAACAAAAAGAAAAAAGAGCTTTATTGTTTTTAATTAGTTTTTATAATTCAAAATATCACAATCCAAAACAAATAAACTGTTTTTACCGAAGGTCAAGTGTCAAATTTGAGAGATTAATGCAATTTGCTAAACCAGAACCTAAGCCTGATGCACCTTCGTCACCAATTTAATTATCACTTTTTAAATATTGAAGAAAAAATATATCATAAAATAGTTAATTAGAAGGAAAAAATGAAGAAAAAATATGAAATAATAAGATTAATTAATTAATAATAAAAGTAAATAATTTGAAAATAAAAGGATGAGCTAAATAAATTAACAAAGAAAGAACAAAAAAAAGCAAGCACAATAAAAACAAAAAGAAAAAAGAGCTTTATTGTTTTTAATTAGTTTTTATAATTCAAAATATCACAATCCAAAACAAATAAACTGTTTTTACTAAAGTTTAAGTGTCAAATTTGAGAGATTAATGCAATTTGCTAAACCAGAACCTAATCCTGATGCACCTTTGTCACCAATTTAATTCTCACTTTTTATATCATAAAATAGTTAATTAGAAGGAAAAAATGAAGAAAAAATATGAAATAATAAGATTAATTCATTAGTAATAAAAGTAAAAAATTTTAAAATCAAAGGATCAGCTAAATAAATTAACAAAGAAAGAACAAAAAAAAGCAAGCACAATAAAAACAAAAAGAAAAAAGAGCTTTATTGTTTTTAATTAGTTTTTATAATTCAAAATATCACAATCCAAAACAAAGAAACTGTTTTTACCAAAGGTCAAGTGTCAAATTTGAGAGATTAATACAATTTGCTAAACCAGAACCTAAGCCTGATGCACCTTCGTCACCAATTTAATTATAACTTTTTAAATATTGAAGAAAAAATATATCATAAAATAGTTAATTAGAAGGAAAAAATGAAGAAAAAATATGAAAAAATAAAATAATTAATTAATAATAAAAGTAAAAATTTGAAAATCAAATGATGAGCTAAATAAATTAACAAAGAAAGAACAAAAAAAAGCAAGCACAATAAAAACAAAAAGAAAAAAGAGCTTTATTGTTTTTAATTAATTTTTATAATTCAAAATATCACAATCCAAAACAAATAAACTGTTTTTATAGAAGGTAAAAATAAAATTTGAGAGATTAATGCAATTTGCTAAACCAGAACCTAAGCCTGATGCACCTTCATCACCAATTTCAAAAAAATAAAAAATTATTTATAATATTTTCTTAAATATTCTTTTAAAAATATAAAAAAGTGTTTTTAAAATAAATATTATTAATGAATTTATTAGTCATAATTATATATACTTTAAAATTAAATAGCATATTTTTAATTTATGCTAAATCTCAAACAGATTAGTTATCTATTAATTTATTAAATTAAAAAGATATTTAATAAAATATAAATATTTTGTATCTTTAAAGAATATATATATATTTATCTCTTCTTTAATTTATATTTTATTTTTAATAATAACTTTATATTATTAAAAAATATTATATGGCTAAATGGAAATATTAGAATTTGTCATATTACAACTAAAAAGATAAATAAAATTCTGAAGATCGAATAGCTTAAAAGCTTTTGATAAAAATTTTTATTTACCATATTGAATTTTAATTGTGTTGATTATACATGCAATAATACTTGATACTAATAATTACATTTGGTTACAATTGTATGGTTGAAATTTAATTAATTATATTGTGTTTTAAGTTTTAAACACTTGATTACAGTTTATTATAAACGAATAATAAATACAATTTATATAAAGATATGCTTGCTTAATTTTTAAAATTGTATTCTTCTAGTTTAACTCTAATTTGTTAAATCTAAATTAAGGTATTTTTTAATTGAACATATTTTGCAATATGGAATTTATTTGCTTAAGTATAACACAAAAATTTTTATTTAAGTAATGGATTATTTAAGTAACCTTATCACGTTTATGTTAAATATATTTATACAAGAATACAAAGTTAGGATTTGCTAAAATTTCGATTATTTTATTGAATATAAAAATATTTATTAAAAATGTAAATACTATGAAAATTGTAGTAAAAATGAATTCAAATAATAAAATAAGAAGTCTTCTAAAACAAATAGGTATACTTATCCTGTAATTATTTTCCCAATTTAAATGTCATTTATATAAAAAATATACCAAAAATCTAGTTTCAATAAAATGGAGGCGCGATAATAGAAGCAGTAGTAAAAATTAGAATTCCTTCATTTATAATTACATTTCTAAATTTATGATTTCTTGACTGATTTGCTTGTAGATCAGTAAATTTACATCTAATTGTCAAGAGTAACAATTAAATTAAAATCATCAATAGATCTATATTAATCATAAATCTATCAATTATTTTACCTTTTATTACATCATAATTAAATTAATAAATTACGGGTAGGAAAATAAAAAAAATCAAGTATTTTTTTAATTTATAATTCTTATATAGATTTAGAATAAATAGAAAAGGATACAAATGAAATAATCTGTGTCAAAAAGTACTATTATTAAATACTTTTTAATTACTGTGTTAAATAGAAGTAGATTCAATAAAATTTTACAAAAAATTACTAACAAATTAACAATTTTTTAAGATAACAATAAGCAAAAATAATTTTTTTTTTTGTGGGATAGTTTTACAATTCTTTAAAGTACTTATTTCTTTTACAAAAATAAGAAAATGCTAATTATAAATTGTTAAATAATTTGATCAAATCAAAAATATTTGTATCAAATTACTACTCATTTATTTTAAATTAATTTGCTAAAAATTGCTTAACTTTTTTTAATTTTTTTTAAAAGCTTATTTGGAATCTTCGATTTTTAGATAATTTGAACTCAGAATATCCTAATTGGCAAAATCAGCAAATAGGTTTACAAATACTGTTGTTTTCTGAAAAAAAGTTTACACAATACATTTACTTTAAATCCTAAAAATCTAAAATATTTAATAATTCATATTCTAAATCATATATAAATATTAAACTTTTAAAATTAAATAATAAAATTAAACAATTATAAAAAAACAAAAGATAAAAATTCCTAAAAAAATGAAAAGCCTTGTTTTATTATTTGCTCTCGTTTTAGTAGCTAATTGCTAAACTGTTTACTAATGTCCAAAGGATGGAAGAGTTTTCAAGTGCTCAAGTGAACCTAAGGAAGTCTGTGGTATCAAAACTGTTCACGGAGAACAGGTCAAAGAAACATTTGTCAATAGCTGCTAAGCCTGCTCTCTTGGTAAGGTTGATTTCACTGTTGATGGTAAATGTGAAAAATACATTGCTGAAGCTGAATTTTGCCCTCCTTCTTATAAAGAAGTTGATGCTTGTACTGAATAATTCTAGCCTTAATGTGCTTGGTTTAACTAATCAGTTAAATGCTTAGTATACCCTTGTGCTATTGAAGTCCAAAATAGATGCTATGGTTGCATTATCAAGAATGTTTTATTCACTACTGAAGGAGATTGCCCAAAATCAGTTTGATTTTATATTATAATTAAATTGATGAAAAGATATATGTATATAATAAATACATATGATTTTATGTAAAAGTTTACTTTTTATATGTAATGCATCTCTTTTTTTATTATGAATTTAATTCAACACATACTAAGTCTTTTTATATTAATAAACAAACTAAATAAACTTAGCTTTAATTTAATATTATTGCTTGTTAGATCGAAAAATATAATAAATAAAGACATATCTTTTTTATTACTACAATTATTATAAAATAAAAAAAGTATGCTTTACTTTAAATCTATCTTTAAAATTTCATGTTTTTTCTTTATTTTTAAAAATTAATATTAAGACATATTTTTTATTAAAAAACCAAATTAAATTGAATTTACTTTTATTATTAATATATTTAAATTTAAATTATATTTATTTACTTTAACTTATACAATAAATAATCTTCTGAATTGAGTATTTTTTTTATAATTTAGCATAAATTTTTTTAATAACAACATAACAATCTTTCCATATGGCATTAAGTCATTCATAATTGAACTATATATGTTTAGCCTTAAACATAAAAGTATTAAATTATTCGATTGTTATTATCTAATTATTGTGGAACAAGTTTTTTATTTAAAAATATAAATTTATTTATCAAAAATACTTTAAGTTGTTTGAAAAGGAATATTTTTATCTATTTAACTTATTAAAGAGTGTTAAAAATATAAATTTATAGATAAATAAAAAATAATTTAATCAATAGAATCCTACTTTAAAAATAATATGATAAAGTTAAATAATTCCATCATTATTGGGTTTTATTTTTTGACTTCTTTTCATTTTCGAATTTAAAATATTTGTTTATAAAATAGAAAAAATAAATATTAAATAAAATGTAAAGATAAATTGTAAGGGAAATTATGTTTTTTGTGGGCACTTCTTGTGCCTTTACAAAAAATTCTACTTAAAAACTGATACCCAATAATTGTTTATTTTGTCTAGTAATTTTGGATTAATTAGCAACGGGTAATTAAAAAAAGATATTTTTTATAAAATAGAAAGAAATTAAATAGTTGATAATTTCTGACTAATTTATGTTTCAGAATTGATCAATTAAAGAAATAAATTAATTATTTATATCTGTATAATTGTAAATATAAAAGATATATCTGTAATATGAGAAAGATATTCCATCTTTTATTAGTTATATCCAATAAAAAGTAATTAAATCAAATATTTACTATATTTGGTATATTTTTTTACATTATTTCTTATAACTGTAACAAAATATTTAAATTACACTTCACCTTTTATATTTACTTTATATGAAAACAGCATATATTTATTAATATTAGGCTGATTACACTATATCTATTTATTTATAGTAACTTTTACTTTAAATTACATTGCCTATTTGCCATCGATTTTTATAATTTATATTAAAAAATAACATTAAAGACAATAAACAAAAAAAAATGAGAAAAATTTTAATACTTGCTGCTTTGGTTTGCTTGACTTTTGCTTAAAACGTCCAAGAATGCCCTACTGATGGTCGTCTTATGAAGTGTGTCGTCTAATAATAACCCGTTTGTGGTATCAGAAGCTTAACTAATGGCAAGCAAATTAAGGAGACTTTTGATAATTACTGTATTGCTTGCTCTATTGGAAAGGTTGAATACACCGTAGAAGGAAAATGTGAAAGCTATCCTGCTGAAGCTAAATTCTGTTCTCCTGCTTAATCTTAAGCATTAGCTTGCACAAGAGAATACGATCCTCACTGTGGATACTTCAACAAGACTGTTTAATGTCTTGTTCCCCCTTGTGCTATTGAACAATCTAACAGATGCACTACCTGCTCTACTGAAAATGTTCTCTACACAGTCAGAGGAAATTGTAGAAATTGAGAGAATAATCAGTGACTGCATGATTATATACGATTTAAATCAATAAGTCTAATAATACTATGTTTAAAATTTAAAATGCTTGTTATATGTTAAAGTATTTTTAATATATTTTTAAGACTTAATTAAATAAAATAAATCTTTCAACAAATAAACAAAAATATTAAATAGTTTAAAGCAAAAAAAAATATTTATTTATGAATTAGAATTCTTTTTGGATAAAAAATATAAATATAACATTTCCTCATAAATTTAATATTTATTTTATTTTGCTAAATTTTTTATGTTAAAATTGCAATTTAGAAACAAAAAAAAATAGATTTTTATTTTATTAACTTTTTTAATCAATTTGCTGTGTTTAATAAAATGAAATTAGTATTAATTATTAATGAGCCAAATATTCAATGTGGTATTTATATCGAGTATTTATTATGAAGAAGATATATTGTTTGTCGCTTTGAATAGAGAGATTACTTCCAAATTATTTTCAAAAAGGAAACTTAATTTTAGAAGATATTTAATTTAAAAAAATAAGTGCAAAGCAAGTAAAATTGTGTTTTTATGCTAGACTTTTTCTCTATTAAACATTCTTAGTTCTAGTTTAATTTCATATAGTTTTCCTCTTATTTAATATATTAAATACTTTTCACTATGTATCTAAATACTATATAAACACTTCTTTCTACTATACTTTTTATGCAAAAACAATGCTTTTGTAACCATAATAATAGATAAATTGGTATTGTTATTTTGAAAGGAGAGTTTACAAAAATAAATAGGAAAGAAGTAAATTTACTGATTAAGCATAAAAAAGCTTGATTTTTATATGAAAAAATCAGACAATAATTGTAAGTAATTATTCCTAAATTTGCATTTTTCTCATAGCTAGTATTCGTTCTAGTTCAATTTCATATTTTTTTTCGCTTAAAAAGGGCAGTTTACATACTTTATTCCAAATTTTTAAGATTACTGAGTAATTAATATTGCTATGTTTTATATTGTAAACCATTTTCAAAAAGATGTTTAAGTAATCGAAAAGTATGAAAGCATAAGCTTGATATAATGTCTGAATTTTATCAAAGACCTAATAAAATTATCTAACAAAGGAGTAAATATACCAAGTAATTATCAATTTAATTTGATATTGATTTTGAAAAAGGGAAAAAGAAGTTGGGAAATTGAATTTGATTACAGAGCTAAATAATTTATTTGATATTTTCTATTTGATCTTTCACAAACGCTTCAAACTTTGGTAAATTTAATTAAAATTACAGTAAATGCTAAAATTTTTTACTTATTAATTCTATTAATTAAAATCAAAGTTAAGCCATTTGAAACAAATATTAAATTTTTATCAAATCTCAATAAATTGAAGTCAAATAATTTCTTCCCAAATATTTTCACATTTCTATTCACAAAATTTGCAACAAATATTTATATCTATTCATCTTTATATCAAAAAAATGTTTGACTTTATTTTCAAAATGGCTTTATTCTATGAGTAAACAAATATGAATTTAATGTAAATTATGTAGCATAAAAGTAATTCATAAAATAAATCTATCCTTTCAATCTCATAAAAAATTAGTTTTTGTAGAAAAATTAAATAAAATATAAGTTTTAAATAATATTTCTGATGGAACAGAAAAAGAAACAGAATTGGTAAGAATATCTTTGGTTGAATAATATTTACATTTATTCACTAACTTTCATATTTAAAATAATATAATCACAGTAGTTTAAAAACTAACTCCTATTTTTTTATAGTATAATTAATTCAAATAAAAACTAAAAAATAGAAAAAAACCAAAAAACTCTTTGTTAAAAAATGAGAAAAATAATCATTATTGCTGCCTTGATCTGCTTAACTTTTGCTCAAAACGTTCAAGAATGCCCTACTGATGGTAGACAATTGAAATGCACAATTCAACAATCTCCAGTCTGTGGTATTAGAGGTTTATCTAATGGAAAGTAGATTAAGGAGAACTTTGATAACTACTGCATCGCCTGCTCAATTGGAAAAGTAGAATACACTGTTGAGGGAAAGTGCGAAGATTACCCTGCTTAAGCTAAGTTCTGCTCTCCTGCTTAATCTAAGGCTTAAATCTGCACCATGGAATATGCTCCTTAATGTGGATTCTTTAATAAATCTGTTAACTGCATCGCCGCACCATGTGCTATTGATGAATACAACAGATGCAAGGCTTGCTCTACAGAAAATGTTCTTTATACCATTAAGGGTAAATGTCATCACGAATGAAAAATATTAAATAATTGATTAATTATCTTTGATGATATATCAGTAATTACATATTATATATGTTTTATAATGTAAATATCTCATAATTTTTTTAATACTTAGAAATAATTGGAAAAATATATCAATTTGGTAATTTTATAATATCATTAAATAAATTAATTTAAAATATCCCTAGCATTATGTACTAATTTAATTGTTTAGTATATTAAAAAATTATTTTAGGAATAAAAAGGAGGGTTTTAAATTCATATTACAAAAATTTGGGTAAATAAAAATAGATAAGATGTTATATAATCAAAAAGGCTTTCTTTTTAAATATTTACTGCTAAAAAAGCATTATTTTGTGAGCTTTTATACATAAATTCTAAAAATATATGATAAATATTCATCTATTATCAAAGTTTTTCCTAAACTTTACATCTCTACAAAATTATATTATTTCAATAGAAAGTAGCAAAATGCATTTTGATAATTATATTTTTAGTCAATGCTCTTTATGAACTTTATATAATAACTATGAATTGTGTAATGTAAAAAGAAATCAAGAGTGAAAAAAATTTCAAAAAAATAATAACATAGATTCATAAAATATATTTATTGTTTGAAAATTTTATAAAAGAAAAACAGTTTTGTCTTAATTTTTAGCTGTATTAGCCCCATATTCAAACAATTATACATCTTTTTTGTATATTTTAAAGAAAATAATGATAAGCTTTAGAATAAAAAGAAACTAAATATTCTCACAATAAACACAAATTTGCTCAAATTTTACAGGGATTGACAGTAGAAGATATTAATACTTTTTTCTTATTAGTTATTCTATCTATTTCATATTTAAACTTAACTTTTTTCTTTTTCAAATTATTCTTTTTTGTATCAAGAAAAAATAATCCTACCCCTTCAATTTTTTTATATTTCGTATTATTAATCTAAAATAGGATTTTTGATTTTTAAAATTGTAAATAGAAATAATCAATCTTAAAATTGAAGTAACAAATGAGTCTCAAATATTTCTAACTAAATAAATCCCTCAAAGCTAATAAACATTTAACAATTTTGATCAGCATTTCTATTAGAAAAAATCCTTTTTGATAAAATTCATATTAAGTCTTGAAAGCTAAAAACCATAAAAAATTTGAAGTTTAAAATATTTATTTCTTAATATGAAAAATGTTTTATTTGATTTTGCATTTCTATTTGGTTTAATACAGAGTGGAAAAATAATTTAAAAAAACTATTTTTCAACTATTTCTTATTTTTCTTTAATAGAAATCAATTTTTCTTCGTTCGAAAATATAATTTTACATATCAATATTTATTTACACTTCCTATTTTGAGACAATTTATGCTATTTTGCCTATATGATTTCCCATTCTTTTTTATTTTAGATGTTATTTTCAGGTTTAAATACGAGTAAAAACTGATTAGCAACTTAAAATAAATAATTAAATAAATAAAAAAAAGTAAATAAATAAAAAAATATCTTAAAAGATGAACAAATTATTATTAATTGCTGCTTTATTCTGCTTAGCTACTGCTCAAACTGTTCAAGAATGTCCTACTGACGGCTCTGTATTAGAATGTGTCATTTAAGATTCTCCTGTATGTGGTATCAGAAGCTTAACTAATGGAAAACAAATCAAGGAAACTTTTGCTAACTATTGCGCTGCTTGTAATGTTGGTAAAGTTGAGTATACTGTCTCCGGAAAATGTGAAAGCTATCCTGCTTAAGCCTAGTTCTGTTCACCTGCTTAATCTAATGCTGAAATCTGTACTATGATTTATGATCCTTAATGTGGTTACTTCAACTAACAAGTTAACTGTTTGGTCCCTCCTTGTAACATTGACTAGTACAACAGATGCAAGACCTGCTCAACTCAAAATGTACTTTACACTATTAAAGGTAAATGTCCCTCACATTGATTGCAATGATTTCGTTAGAAATATTATATATAAATAATAATTATTAAATAGTTATATTGCAATTATATGTAATTATTTGTTTGTAAATTTAACCTATTATTTACAAATATTTGAAAAATCTCTCAATTATATATTAAAAAAAGAAAGTTATAAAAAAATAAATTATAATTAAATAACAAAACTTTGCTTGGAAATTAAAATATTAACTAATATCTTATAGTGTTATGAAAGGTAAATCAAAAAAACATTAATTTAATCAAATAAAAAAGAGCTCTATAATTTTGTACATGAAGAATTGTTTTATAATGCTAAAATAAAGAAATCTATTATAAAAGAATATAAACATTATTCTAAGAAATTAAATTTAGTCAAAGAAAAATAGTAGAAATTTAATAAATTGATATTTTTAGCAACTTTAAAATCTTGTTTTTCTGAAGCAATCGGAGAAGAAATTTCAAAATCACAAACTCTATCTACCGTATTTCCTTGATCAGCATCTTTAATTTTTAACGATATTTTAAGAAAAATTAACGATTGAAATTCTCAAATTTTGAGCTTTTCTCCAAAATCGGATAGATTTTTTGTTGAAAAATTATGGTAAATATTTTTTTTTTGTTAATAAACTCTCTACACTTTATTTTTGAATATAATCCTGTTTATGTTACCCTCTGGAACATAGCAATACTAATGTAACATTAATTTTAATTAGAGATAGAATTCGTAAGGAGAGGTATTTAGTGAAAATAAAGGATTTTTTTTAGTAATTCTATTTTGATTTTTTTAAAAATTGAATATAAAATAGCTTTCAAAAGTGGCTTATATTTAAAGCTATTACTTTTAATGAGATAAAGGAATTTTTTCAAAAAAAAAATTAGAGATTTTATCTATTTTTAATCAAGCTCTACAAAAAATTATGATAAATTTCTTTTGAGTTGATGTAAAAATAAAAAATAAAAAATATTGAGAGAAGATACCTAATTACATTTACTGATAAATTGCCATATTAAGTGGAATATTTAAGCTTATCATAATCAAAAATAAACAGAAAATAAATTTCTATTTTGATAAACATCTTAAGCACTATGTAGCATTTGTAAATCCAAAGTACCAAAAGTATAAAAAAGATTTTATGAAAGAAATAAAATAAATTAGACATTAAATATCTTCGTTAAAAACTAAAAAAAATAAAAAACATAAATATATATTACTAAAAAAGAATTAGATCAAATAATATATCTTCCTTATTTTTAAAAACAAATCAACTCAAATATAAGATTAGATTTATTGCAGATAGAATAAACTATAAATAAAATATTTAATTTGCATACAAAAGTTTAATTAACATATTCAGTTAAATATAAAATCATAAAATGATGATTAAATTTAATTAATATAATAAATCTAGTGAACAAAAATAATTGAAAAAATTTGTTTAATTTAAATGAATTATTTTAAATAAATAAATAATAAAAAAATGAATAAGCTAAAATTTTATTATTTTATTTAATTTAGTGTTAAATTAAATTCGCTTTAAAATTCATTTTTACTCCAAAAGTCAGAAACAATGTTAGTTACAAATAAAACCAAAGAAAGTGTTTAGACTAATTTCTAACCACATTATACATAACAATATAAATTTATTTAATTTAAATAAAACAAAACAAAACAAAAATGCTATGAAACGAATTACAGTCATTAAGGCAGTCTTTTTATTTAAATTTCATGAATTTTTTCTTTATTTTTACTTACAATTTCAATCTAATAAATATGTCATATGCGTTTATATTGTTTAAATTTGCAAATTAAATTTAAAATAAATCAGAAAATTCATAAATAAATAATTGCAAAAAAACTTTAATAAACAAAAAAGAGCAAAATTTAATAAGATAAAATAAGATAATGCCAATCTAAAAAAGCTAAATAGTATTTAATCTCCTTAAATTATTCGATATTTATGGAGTACCAATAAGAATAAATTTTTAGAGAAAAGAAACTCATAAAACTATATTTGGAGCTATAATTTCTATTATAGTTATGATGACGTTTGGATTATTTTGCTATATTTAAGGTATGGAATTATTTTAAAAAGCTAATCCTATTGTAATAACAAGTGAGCAATATGTTAAAAACCCTCAAAGAATGGATATCGATAAAACTTAACAAGTAATAGTGATGGGATTCTTTGACCATAAAGCATAAACTGTTTATGATCCTTCTATAATTTAGGTTACTGCTACTATTTCTAATTTGTAGAAAGTTTATAATTCCACTGCTTAGGGATATCAAACTAGTCTAAAGAATACTTAATTGAAAATAAGACCGTGCAATTAATAAGACATAAAAATAGATAAGCTTTAAGGCTATTTTAGTTAGCTCACTCTAAATTAGTATTTCTGCTTTGACGACAATCAGGAAGTATATGTTGAAGGAGATTTTTCAGGCGATTTTTACTCAAAAGTAGATGTTTATTTTTCTTAATGCAAAAATTCTACTTAACCAAATTCTACTATATGCCAACCTCAAGAATACATTAATAATGTAACATCAAATTTATTTTTTCAAGCATATATGATTGATAAGATTGTTGATCCCTTAAATTTAGACAATCCATTTGACTATTAAGGATTTAATATAGAGACTTAGACTTCGATTTTCCAAAGTTAGTAATTTGTGGCTTTTTTCGAAAACTATTACGTCTAATCTGATATAGGGCTAATATCAAAATCAGTTAAAGAAGTTAGAGATTTTTTGTATATTGAGTCTCACTCAAGTAACATATATGGCATAGATGGATTATTGATTTAATTTACTTTAAGACCATACAAAAATAAACAATTAATTATGTAAAGAAGATACATGAAATTTTCTGATCTGTTTGCCTAACTTGGTGGGATATTAAAAGTTATTACATTGATAGGTTTTGTCTTAGCATACCCTTTTGCTAAAATACATTTGAAGAAAGAAATAACGAACAGTATTTTTGAGTTCGATTTTGATATAGAATAAGATGAAAAAACTAATAAAAAAAATTAGATGACTAATAATTTTGAAAAAAAAACCACTGAAAATAACTAAAAAATGAATTAAATTAAAAATGATAAATAAGATTGTTTGAAGGATTAATCTAAACATTAATAATCAGAGTGTGACAACGATATAGTAAAATTAAATAATTTAAGTTATTAAATAGAATATAGTCCAAATAACAGAAGAGGAATAATAAATGAATAAAAATAGCAATTTAAGAATAATCAAACCTAAAAATAGGATTAAGAATTGGAAAATATACATGACAGCACTAACTACAAAGCAAACATATCAGAATCTCAAATTATCAATTCTTTTAATGTAAAGAATAGTCAAAATTTTGTTTTCAGAAAAAAATAAAGCCAATATTTAAATCAAGGAAATGAAATTGAAGATGGCAAAAAAGCTAAAAAATAATTATGGAAAGGCGATATTTTGTAGAAAGAAGACCATAATTTGAAATAATCTTTTTTGGATATATTCAAAAAAATTTTAAATCCACACAAAATGAAAATAAACTTCAGCTTAATCGAGTACATTTAATAGATTTTATCATGCACAAGCTCTAAGCTACTTAAACTAAAAAAATATTTTATTAATGAAGGTATTGATAAGGTATAAAACCATTTAGATATTTAATATATTCTCTAAAAGTTATAGGAAGTTGAAAAACTTAAATAGGTTATTTTAAATGAAGATCAAGTTAGATTATTTGAGCTATTACCACGTCCTATTTTGCATAAAAAAGATCACCGAAATTATACAAATAAAACTAATTAGTTTTATGATTAAATCTATGAGAGTTATGAAGAAAAAATTATAAATGCTTATATAAGCCTAATTAATATTTTAAATTAAAGAAAAAAATCTTAAAGAGACCATTAATTGATTCAACTTTTAGATGAAAAAATTTATTAAACGATTAAAAATACTGGCCTTTTATCTAACAGTATGGATAATTAAAATCATAGTTACCCAAATTACCCTTTTGATAATAACTCTTTCTAACAAGATGAAATAAACGAATTTTCATCTTTAAGAAACTCAAAAGCAGATTCAAATTTTAGAGATATTGATGAGAACATAAAATAAAAAATTGAACTTCTATTTACAAAATTAGATGTACCAGAAGAAAATAGCTCAATTACTAATAGTCATTATTTCAGCCAGATAAGACACTCAAAGCAAAATTCCTTGAATAAAAGATGATTATTTCCTAAAATCATATTTAAATTCAATTAAAACTTTTATTTTTATTACATTTGTTTATTTATTTAGTAAATTTAAATATAAATTTAATGTAAAATAATTTTAGTTTTTTTACTACTCGAGTTTTTATTTTTTTATTTTTTGAAATTTTATTAATAAAAATATAAAATTGCAAAATCAAAACTAGCTAATTATAAATTATTTTAAATAAATTATTTTTGACATAATATATTAAAATTAGAATACTTCTTTTAAAATATTCTAATATAAAGAAGTTAATAAAAATTATAAATCAATAATAGATTTTCCAAAAAATCTGGAATATTTCTAGAAGGAAAGGAAGCATGTAAAATAATATTTGTGTTTAAAATAGAAGAATAAACAAAAATTGTAATCAATTTAGGCTATTATGAATTCCTGTTATGATGAGAAAGAATAAAAGACTCAAGAACTTATTTTTTAATGAAAGTAAGATAAAAAAGGTAACTTTGGAAAATGAATAAAAGAAATGTTATTATTGATTAAAGATAAATTCAAATAACAAATTAAAGAAAGAGAATAAAAGAAAAATTCGGTACATTTTTTAAGAAAAATAAGAAAATTATTTAAAATGAATTAGAATACTTATAAATAGATAAATATCATGCACTACCTTCTCTATTTGTTTTTTGTTTAAACAGCCAGCTAATTTCTAATTTTATCTAATGATAATTAAATGATAGTTTTTATTGTATGGCAGATATTAAAAGGAAAGTTATTCGTAAATTTTAGTTTTTCACTGTAACACGAAAGATAAATCAAGAATTAATTTATATTCATTAATTAATAATCAATTATAAAAATTCATAAAAAGATATAATCAAATAAGATTACTTCAAATAATAATAATAATAGTACATATATAAGCATTTTAGAGCTCAGCTTCGAAAGTAAAATTAATAATAAAGTCTATATTTCTTTCTACTAGTCCATGGACTCCAGCGTTGATCTTGTACTAAAAAAGGACATTAATTAAAGTATTAATAATATTATTAGATCTGATAGATCTTCTTCTAATCCTAAAACTTACTAAAAAAATTCAGAAATAGATCTCTGCCAAAACTCTCAAAAATAGCTTCTTTTTAAAAAGATATATCAGATAAACACATAGAATTTGAAGCAAAGATAAAGTGATAATATCATTTTAGAATCTAGGAGTCAATCAAGCTAAAATATTGATAAGTCTGCAATAAAGAATGCTTCTGTACAAATATAGCAAGCTAATAGACGATCAGTGAAATAAATAGTAATCAAAAAGCAAATCACAATTGAAAGCTTAAACTCATCAAATGATCAGCTCAGCCCTGAAGTTAAAGTTCCATAATCTGCCAGACATTTCAATCGCCCAACATTTAATTTGTGCTCTTTAAATAATCGAATTTAGCAATTGGAGTAAACCAATTCTAAGAGCAAACTTAATCAGTATTTCTTTCCTTCATAGAAACCATTGAGCAATAGAAATGAAAACTCATAAGTTTATTGCACTTATTTCAATTAATAGAACTCAAATTAAAGTATAGATGAAAAGCCTGCAAAAAAAAAAATAATTATAAGGAGGGATGCTTTAAACACTTCAAGAGGAATAGAGATGCAAAAAGGAGTTTAATAATAAAATAATTACGTTTAGAAAGAAATTTCATCTACAGATTCAATAAGTAATTTCAGAAGGTATGACGAAGACTCAGACGAAAATTTTGCAACAAGTGAGAGGAACGAAAAACCCAAAACAGAGTCAAATATTCCTTTTGAAAATGAAAATAAATTTAAGGGCAGGAATATGTATTCATTCCAAACTTAAATTATAAAAAAAGTACCAAAAAATACTCCTATTAAATTAGAAGAAGGTCAAAATATTGACAAAAGTTATTCAATTCAAGAAGATATTTCAAATTTAAATTTAGCAACAACCACCTGCTCTTCTGGGAATGAAGAACTTTCTCCAAATTATTTACCTGTAGATAGAAAATTAATGAAAATTATAAAAGTAAACAAAAACTTATGTAAATATGGTAAGTCAAACTAAGTTGAAGAATCGAAATCCTAAACTAACATATTAAAAAATCAAATTAACTTAGTTAAAAATGCTTATAAGTAATAAAATATTCAAAATTTTGATTAAAATGGTAATTTGTAACTCAAAGCCAAGTAGGAGTAAAACAGCTAACAAATTTCTCAAGATTAAAATTAAGACCACAAAAAAGAGTCAACTGAAGAAATTTTAGCAAATTAATTGGGAATATTTGAAGTTACCCAAACAGAAAATATATTAATTAAAAAGTTAAAAATCCTATCTCAATGTGAATTCAATCTGTACGAAGCTTATCAAATTAAAAATTTGTAATAGAGTGAAATTAATTCTATAAGCTCTTTTATAAGTGCAATGTAAAATGATAGCAAAGGATAAATGTTTACCAATGTACTTAATTATAAGCATTTTATTCAAAATTAAGATAGCTCGCTTTTAATTTTCCCTTTTTAATCTAACAAAACCTTAAAAAATTTGCTTTAAAATATTAAACTATTGAATGAATAGCTTTTGAAGATATTCTTTAAAGATATTTTGTGCGGTCTCTAACAGATATATTACAATATGAAGACTAATCTAATTAATTTATTAGATTTTGATCAAATTTTTATAGATGAAAAATATAAACTCTTTGTTGGATTAAATATTAATTAAAGTAAAATAGATCCAGACTAAATTTATTTGCAATACTTATCTGAAGATGAGTCAAATAATTAGTAATAGTATGAAAAAATCAATAAATTACAATTTAGAGAAGAATGTAATATTGTACAGGACTTTGGATTTTTAATACTGAAATCTCTTCTAGGACCTAATTATGCTATTTTTGAATAAAATACAAATCATAGTAACTAAATTAGGAGCTTAATATCAGACTAAAATAATTACAAAAAGTGTTGCCTTTTTCATGATATTAAATTTATCTCAGAGAAAAATATAACTGATTCTAGAGTCTAGTTAAAAAAAGCAAATGAAATCACCAAATTTATCTCTAAGAACTGCTCTTAATAATTGCAAGATATTTTGTGCGGATCTCTAAAATACAAAAAAGAAGAAAGATTGAATATTTTTTAATTACAATAATAATATTTCTTTTAAAGCTAATTGAGTGCAGCAATAGATAATTAATAAATAAATAATAACAATAATTAATCTCAAATATTAAAACTTCTTTTTTAATAAGTGTAAATAAAAGAAAAATAACAAGACACCCTTTAATCAAAAACTCAAAAGCTTTAACTTTTGATCAGACTAAAATTAGTGATTGCTAACTCTAAATCATTATTTGATAAAATTTAACCATAAACTAATTATTAAAAAATACAAGAAAAAATAGAATCTCAGCTGAGCCAATATTTATCAATTACCACACAAGAAATCAAGAATATAATTAATATAGAAAAATGATCCAACTAAAATTAAAAATTTCAATTTTATCTATAAATCTTCTTTTTCAGCCTCATTAAAGATTTAAAAAAAGAGTTAATTAAAATATAAATTTATGTAAAATTGAGGCTAAAAACATTACATTTTAATAAATAAATAAATAAATAAATATCAAAATATAATAAACCCTTATTACACTCATAATAATAAGGTTTTTTGTATAAAGTGTTTGAATTCAAACCAAATATAATAATAATAGTAAGAAAATATGATTAAAAATGTTTAATAATGTATTTGTAACAAAACATATTATAAACTCAGAAGTAAATATTAAATTATTTTTTTAATAAAATGTAGTAAATTAGATTTGTATATATATATTACTAAGAAATAATATGAATTAAATAAATTTCATAAAATTAGATTACATTTAATACTATTCAATTTTGATGATGTTTAATAATAATTGCTTGAATTTAATTTAGTTTTAATTTATTTTTTCAAATTATCAAAAGTGGAATCACTTTTCCAAATCAAAATTATTCCAAAAGTAAAGTAAAGTAAAGCAAACAAACAAATAATTATTATTTAAACCAAATTTAAGTAAAATTTATCAAATTCGTATAAATGTAAGTTGTAATTAGTGGACCACAAATTCTTTTATAAAATAAATAATATTCACTTAAATTAGATATTTATTTAGTATTTGATAAATATTAAATCCTCTATCTACTCTCTCTAATTAAGATAGATAGATAGAGAAAGATATTGATTTCATGAGGATTTTTTACTTTCATTTAAAAAAATATTCTATTTTCTTCCCCATGTAATTGATCTTAATCTCTTTTGGAGGAAAGTGACTTTTTCTTCATGACTCATATTGTCTGGAAAGATAAACTTTTCTACCATTTTATCATATTTTTTAAAGATTATTAAAAAGAATAATTCTTTTGCTTGAGTTTATTTAAACAGTGTGCCTTTTCTTTTTGTGTAAATCTCTTTATCATTTTCAAAGATTTTTCTGTATTTGGACCAATGAACACCAGGGTAAGCATGATGAACAACATGCAGATCTCTATCAATCACGTTATAAGTTCCATCTATGATTGTTATGCTATTCACATATTCATTTGTTGGCTCTTCTGGGTCTATGAATGCATGCCATGTCCAGTTATAAAGTGAGATAAAAAAAACATTTTCAAGAAAAGCGTATCCAATAAATGATAAGGCAAAAAAGAAATTGACCTTTTAAGCGACTAATAAAAAGAAAAGCATTTAGTAAACAATGCCTATCATTAATTAAAACACTTATTTGTAGTTTTTATCATTAAAAAACACTGGAATCAAGGAAATATTTGTGCTGTAGAATAAAAATCTCGTAACATAGCGAATATAGTTAATAATAGAATCTCTCTCCATGTCAGAGTTGCAGATTACGTCCTTTTCTGAGTTTGAATATTTGTGGTGATTCATTGAATGTCCAATCTTCATTGAGTATGGCAGAAGTCCATAAAATGGACCTATAAACCAACAAAAAATATTACCTAGAATCCACTAAACAAATTTAGGTAAATTTTAAAATTATTCTGTTCCTGAGTGACACTCTTTATGAGCAAGTGACTATACGGTCCCAAAAATTGCAAGTTCGGGTCCTAAGCGCAAAGTATGGTACAATATAAATACAAAAATACTGAATCCATATTATGATGTATACCAGGCGCTTGCTAAGAATATGACTATCAAGTATATTATCAAAAATACAATAGAATTTATTATGTAGTAATCTTATTTGTAAACAACATAATTTTCTAGATATTTTTGAGTCGTTTCATTGAATCTATCAGCTATTTGAAACAGGATTCCTGTTCTAGGTTTTCCTTTGAAAAGCCTATCTACTTTTTCCCACATAACACTGAAAAATGTTAGAAGTGCATAGAAGGGTAGTTCAAACACAATAATAAATAAGCCTATAAGAAATTAGAAGCCTTCGCCTAATGTCATAAACTAATGTCTCATTTTTTTAATTTTAAGAATCTTTTTGTTTTTATTTAAATTTTTATGTTTATATTGATCATCAAAATTCAGATGATATTTAAAATAAAATAAAAAGATTTCAACAGAAATTATTTAAAGTTAGTAACGAAATAAAATTCCTACTCATTCAACGAAATTACATTTGATAAAAAATTATAATAAAAATCATCAAAGAGACAATTAATTATTTTTCTATATGCGAATTATTAAAAATAAATATCGCACTTACTATTTATGATTTTTTTTATATTAATTTTTACAGTTATGATAATAAATTATGACTAATTAAAATATTCGATTAGAATCGTAATTTACGTTTCATTAAGAAACTAAACATTCTATTTTAAATCAAAAATAGACAAATTAAATGTAATTCTGTTTCATGCCTTTTATTGATTCATACTTCTAAATTTATTATTTTAACGCATAAAAAAAATACCACCACAAACAATATCTTAAAAGAGAGATAAAATAAAATCTAAATTCTATTCTAATAATTTAGATGGTAAAAATATGACTAAATCCTATTTAAATATTAAAAAATTGGTTATTTCATAAAAATTTTTTTGGATATTTTTGTACTATTTTGAAAAGTTAAAAATATTATTTGCTTATTTAAATTTTTTAGGTTCTTTAGAATTGCTCTTTATGATAAGAGAATACTAATTCTACACTAATATTTTTATTTTATAAGTAATTTACATAGAATGATAAATTTATTTTAAATGTTGAATCCATCCTTAATGAAAAATATCATAAATTGATAATACGTAAAAAATATATTGTGAATATTACTCACTAATTGGATTGATTTTTAAATAAATTTAAA